TGCGGGCCGCCTAAATTGAGAACTTTGGATCAACATTGCTGTTTCTTCAATGTGTCACGGAATTCAACTTCAACACCCAAGGCAAAAGAACGAGCTTGTCATGTGTGAATGGACTCTCTTGCTCTCCGCAGCTTCTGGGGCTCGACCGGCTTCTGCATCCACTAGCTGGTCTGGCTGGTAGTTCAAGGAGTGGGCAAGATGAAGTTGATCAATATCTCCGCGAAGGTCTGAACAACTACTCACTATGTTTTCTGTTGACTACTGACACACAACAGGAGTTGTCAATATCTCGCCATGCGCTTACTGGAAAGACCATCAACACAAATGGCCTGTTCTCGCTCGACTAGCTCGAGATCTACTCTCCATTCCGGCTACAGGTGCTGGCACAGAGCGACTTTTCACAGTTGCACAAAAAATCTGCTATGCGCATGGGGAATATTTAGATGAGTCGGCCATGCAAGACCTAGTGATGTATGCGTACTCGGAGGAATCTGAAAGAGGGAAGCAATTGATCAGCCGGCTAGAACGTAACAAGGAAAGTAACGAAGAATGGGAGGAGTTCGAAACAGAGGCAGAAAGGCCTGAACCGATCAGCGAGGATGAGTGGAGCCCAGCTGACGCGAGTATTGACGAGCGCCCAGAGGACGACGAAAACAGCGAGGCAGACACAGTGATTCTGGAAAGCGCACCTACGGATGACCTGGGCCAGGATATGGCGGATGAAGGCGATGAGGACTCATTCCTGCCCCCGCCTGTCACGCGGCTCATCAATCGCGTTCGAAGAAGATTCTCAGGCAGAATGACAGTGATCTAGCAGGGTGTCTCATCATTCTTCTCCGGTGTTTGTTTGTTGGAATTTACCCTGCCTATCCTGCAAGAATGATACTCGCATTACAAATTCATTGTCGCTGATTTATAATAAGCCGCGCCCATGGAAAGGGGAAAACGTCATATCAACAGATCATGTGGAAAGCGCGTATGCAAGACAGTCAACGTTACAATTGTCACTTTTAGCACTGCCAGTCTTGTTGCGTTTTCTGAGAGAGATGTGGTGGCGATTAGCTGACGCTTCTCTCCATCATGGGCTCATCAAAATACGTAGCAGTACCTTAATGCAAAAACGAGCAAGTGTTACAACTTTGAAAGCAGAATACATAATATCATGAGCTCTCAATTACATCTTACTTCTGACACGCGACAAAACGCGGCTATCTCAAACAGATCAGTGGACGCTTTATATTATATTGTCAGTGCTAAAATACAGTGAAAGTGACAAATCAGTTTAAGGATAATCAGCGTTCCTTATTAATCTCCAAATAAATGATATAAGTGCCATTATATGTCTTGCTGCTGCGGTCGAGTGTAGTCAGACTGTCGTCCGTTCAAAGTATGGTGCTTTTGGTCATCAAAATGATCGTTGGCTGGACGAATTCTGGCTATCCATTTCAGGCTTTAGCTGAGCATCCATATTAGTACAGTACAGATGGATTAAGAGAGCAAGATAACCTGTTGAGGCCGCCAACAATCAACCTGATGGAACTACCGGTAAAACGTGTTGACCATTGCTTGTGCAAGTATAAAGACACTAGATGGGAGAATGGTAAGAGTTTCCAGAGTTGCCTAATCCATGTACGTCTCTGCCACTCCTACGTCATTCCTCCGTTTAATGGTGCGGCGGTTCTGTCAGCAGCAAGCCTCTTGCTTTAATATCCTGTTGTTATTACCTTTGCTGGCAAATTAGCATCGGGGTAAGATTCTACAGCTACCCAACTATGGCATTACTAGATGAGGTTGTTAGCGTACGCGAGGCCCAGTGATCCTCCATGGGCTGCATACAGGCAAGATTGTACAACAAACGTAAAGTATATTCTTAGCAGCCCAATGTTCAAACAATCTAGGATGAATCTAACTTTCTATTCCGATATTAACAGAGGTTTTGACTAGTACAGGAACATGGGTTATAGGTGGCTGCCGCTGACAAATGTTTGTCTTGGGGACGTAACTCTGTGTAAGAAAAAGGGATAAGAATGCATAGACTCCTTTAGCAACGAAGAATCACAGCCTTCAGAAACACAACAGACAAACTATGGACGAAATACTAAGCTGGGAAGGTGCTGGAAGATTCCCCCGTAGACACGACACTCAGAGAAGTCCAAGCTTTTGCAAAATCCAGGCCCGTTTGGCACCTTTCATGGTTGCCCCATTTTTTTTGAGATATGCTTTGGTAACTGGGAGGCCTTTGCAACCAGGATGCCCGGCGTGTTCCAGCCACGACAATGGTGTCCCGTACATACCGTCGAGAGCATTGACTTGGGCTCCGTTTTCCACCAGAATTCTCGTTGCGTTGTAAGAGCCATACTCAGCAGCCCAGGAGAGAGGGGTACGTTTGTTTTGATCGCGATCGTCAATTGGCGCACCAATATCCAGAAGTCGTAAAAGAAGCTCAGTACAATCCCCCATAGCGGCATAATGAATCAGAGACCTCTTGAAAGGGCCCCTTGGGTTGCATATGCCCTCGGATTGGACCGATATGTGAGTTGCTTCGAGGAAAGCCATGATGTTCTCGTCCAGCGCATTCATCTGGATATTTTTGAGGCGCTTGAATTCACCATCCATGGTTGTGGTGGATTGAGAGGACATGGTCTTTACACACTTCGAAAAAGCCAAAGGCCAGGGTCGCGAGAGCCCATGACCAAGCTGGGGGATGATAGGCTATATAGTAATGGTGGGAGAGGATGTCCCATATCTCCCAAAGTATAAAATATGGATATGCTTTTTGCCATCAATGTGCTTTTTGGCGGGTTCTATTTCATTTTAGTGATGCAGGATGCTACTTGGATGCACAGGAGTAAAGTTCAAGGGCATTCTGTTGTATCAGTATGTGTTTCATGGCCTCGACAAAGTGCGGCTGCCCGCCGCAACATACAGTATGCAGCGGACTGTTGGGTTGAAGAGACGAAAAGGCTAACAAAAAGCCAGAGGCAACTCACCCGCACCGTGTTGTAGTGCCTCAGAAACATGAATTGGATCTTTCAACACAGTGTGTTGTGGGGACCAAGGCTGGGTCGGCCTACTTCCGGAACAAGACCGCCGACCACACACACGGCCTGATACGCCTCGTAATTGGATACATGGGTCCTCGGTTATGAATAGCATAGCTCTATCAGAATGGACAAAGACCAAGGTCGAAATCTATGGTTGTGCATTTCGCGCCCCGCGTTATCGTAGACGCGGCACATCACTTCGA